CTGGCTCAGCTGCAGTTTGCCTGATGCGCGCTCTGATGATGGTCGCAGTCGTTAACTCTTCGACCAGCACTCATCGCATGCCGGAAGGCATCGCCTCTCCGCATTGTTTCAACCAGCATTTTGCCATGCCAGCTACACCCAATCGCACTGTTTCATTTGGGGGCAACGATGAAACCTTCGAAGTTCCCATCGAGCAAGATTGTAATTTGTATCCGTGCCAAGCCAAACAACGAACTTTCAATCCAGTTCGCATCACCAAGAACGATCGTACTCGTAAAGATACGATCGAAGCACGAGAAAGTGATGCAATACTTGCAGCACAGATGTTGCAATCAGCTGTCTTTCGGGAGTTGCATGGTAAACTTTGCAAGTGCAACTTTGAGTGTGACAGTGATATCGGCTGTCGCCACTGCATCCGTTCCGATTTGAATGCATTGCCAGGTCATATGCCCTCCCAGCAGCGTAACGCATCCGCTGAAATTGCATGGATCGCTGACACCGGTAGTGCCCAGGACTTAGTTTGCAGCAAGATGATTCCCGATGACATTGTGTATCACTCTCATGAACCCCTTGAATTAATCACTGCAAATGGTTCTCAATCAGCTGACCAACAAGCTTCTGTTCATATTGATTGCATCGACAAAGAAGTTCACCCATATGTTCTTCCCGATACCCCGGCTGTAATATCGGTAGGGATGAGATGTATTCAAGATGGATGGGATTTTGTTTGGAAAAGCTTTAGTCGCCCATATTTCAAGAAGAAAGATGGAACTAAGATCAAACTTGAAGTTAAAGATTTTGTTCCTTATCTACCATCAAGAGATGGCCAGGTACCCGCTGCAGTAGGGATTCCGTTTTCATGGGACTCCGCTGCCGGGAACGGCAAGCCTATCATCTCACCTGTTCGAAGGTCTCGCATGTCCGCTGTCGGCACTGAGTCCGAGGACGAAGTCGAAGAGGTCGAAGAACCTTATGAGGCTTCCATCGCAGATGACGATGAAATCCCTGGACGTGGTGACGATAGTCTCGAGGAGTTCTTCCCTCATGAACTTGCGCCAGGACCTCCAGCAGCCATGACACCTGAGGGTGGTGTGGGTTCGGAAGATGAAGCCGAAGCTCCTGAAGAACCAGTTGACGGTCGACTTCAACTGCCTGAACCTCAACCAATTGATCGCGGTGAAGCTGCACTTCGAGAAGAGGCCAGGACCCTTAGGCACATGATGACACATACCCCAAAGAATCCTTTTTGTGAAACATGCAAATGTGCAAAGATGTACAAACCTACCAAACGTAGCAAAGGGGAATCTCTGACTGTGGAATCCAACAAGTTTGGGGATCACATCACTGGGGACCATCTTGTGACTAGGGATGCCAACGAGCAGTCAATCGATGGTGATAGAGTTGCTATGGTCATGAAAGATGTCGCTACGAATTTTCGTTGGATTTATCCTTCAGCTAGAAGTCATGCCAAGGATTGTGTTTTAGCTTTTAGGCATTTCATTGCACCTGGTGAAGAAGTCGGAGTGTTTTATTCCGATGCAGCGCCATCCATCAAGCTCGCTTGTCGGGAAGTTGGGTGGAGGCAGAACACTAGTGTTGCTTATGTCTCAAAGTCGAACGCAGTCGCCGAGAGGAATCTCAGGTCCGTACTTGAAGGGACTAGAGTAAACCTTGAACAGGCAGGGCTTCACCATTCTTATTGGAGTTATGCTGCACGACACTGGTGTATGGCACGCAACATCCAGGACCACCCTGAAATCTTATCTCCGTGGGAGCTTCGTTTTGGGGAGAAGTTCAAGGGACCCAACATTCCTTTTGGGGCTCGCATTGACTTTTGGACTGGTCCGAAACTTAAACCCAAGAAAGATCTGCGTTTTGACCCAACTTCAAATCCAGGTGTCTTTTTGGGATATGCCATGCAACCAGGTTTCGTTTGGAGAAATGAATTTCTTGTAGCATCATTGAAGGACCTCATGGAAAAGGAATTCAACGAATCAGTTCAAGTTGTACGTGTCAACCAACTCACTGTACCTGATGGACCGTTTGTTTACCCTTTGAAAGGTAGGTATAAGGCCATTAGGGAAGGTTTGTACGAATCTCTTAGCCTTGATGCTCCACCAGATCCGAAGAAGATGGACGCCCAAACAATTGAAGACTTGGTTGCCCCAAGGAAAGCCGTTGAGCCAGGACCGGTGGAGGGCGAAGAGGAATTTGAACAGTTGATGCGTGAAGCTGGACTTGAGTCTGATGACATCGAAGTGATTGACCCCAAGACTGGAAAATCAGAATTTATCTCAAAGGATGACCCTTCATACTACGATGCTAGTGGTTTTATGGGAAGACGATATAAAGGTTCCTCCAAACCAAAGGACATTCCAACATTTCTTTGGCGGGGGGCCTCTAAAGCGGCTAGAGAAAGGGCTAAACGTGAAGCCTTGTTGAAAGAGGCAGCTGAAAAGCATGACGCTGCGGTTGCCAAAGAACATAAGTACAACAGGGTTATAGAAGTTATAGACCGTTTTGCCACTTCAGCTGTCAAAGAATCCAAGAATGCCGAACCATCAGATGATTTCATTCCCGCAATGCCAGTCACCTACAATCCGGGGGGCTCGCATGGTGGAAACCATTGCCACAGAGACAAGCTTAAGGATCAATCAGAGCTCATGTGCTTTCATTTTTCCAATGCACTTGTGGCAAGACCCGTTGGACAGAAGGAGATTAACAATACTCCGGCTGCCCAGGCTGCACTCGATAAGGAATGGAATAACCTTACTAGTAAGGGTGCATGGGACTATTCCACTGTTAGGGAATGGGATGATGTTTCAAGGGAAGCCATCAAGAACAAGACCAAAGTTCATGTAGGCAAGATCTTCGAGATTTGTGTCGAGAAGGGAAGCGAGCTACCGCAGGGTGACCCCATGCGCAAGTTTAAGGGTCGCACCGTTTTCCAAGGGAACAACGTCAAGGACGAGGCGGCTGATGTTGCCTTGTTCGCGGAGCTCGGAAGTTCACCGGCCAACATGGAGGCAGGGAAAGCATTGGATGCTTATGGCTCCATGCCGGGGAACCGGACATCACAAGGTGATGGTAAGCAAGCGTACACCCAAGCGTTGATGCAAGGAATTTTAACTTGAATAAGATTACCAAGAAACCGTTGGCCGAAGGAATGGATTGGTGTGTTTAAAGACCCGGTTGTTCTTCTTATTTTGGCACTGTATGGTCACCCTGATTCGGGGGGTCTATGGCAACGTCATTGTGAGAAAGCACTTTATGCAGTCGGATTTCACCCACTCTACCCTGAATGTTGGCCTTCAATGTTTTGGCATCCGAAATTGAAATTGTTGCTTGGAGTATATGTTGATGACTTCAAGATGTCAGGACCTTCCAAAAACATTGACGAAGGGTGGAAGTTGATTTCTTCTCAAATCGACATGGACACTCCTGAAGATGCCGGCAGATATCTTGGATGCGAACATGTATTCAGACAGAATGTCAAGCTTGATGTAAGTGCTCATCCTTTTGCTCATGTCTTCGATGCTAGCATCCCAGATCCTTCTAGTAAGCCAGCCAGTCCGGCCCGCCGAACAAAGGACTACTGGGAGCACATGCCAGAGCTTGGAGTCTGTGTTCATCATCACCTGCAACCTCGCAAGAAGTTCCAGGACAAGCCGAAGGACGATGCATCCTTCCGGGCGGGAACGCACCGGCTAACCGTGTGTGAACCTTGTCGAACCCAAGATGAACCCAAAGAATATGTTCATGATATGGAATCTCAAAACCCAACTGGACTTCCATTTTGGTGGACGGGATCAACCTACTTCGTGGACAAATCTATCAAAGAACCCTCAAAAGTTTTGGCAGCAGCTAAGAAGATAAGAGATAAATCGGGAGCAAAGAAAGCGGCTAGGGCACAAGGATTTACTTTTCTTGATGAACTTGAGCAACATAAATCCAAGTGCATGACAAAGAATGTCAACACGGTCGAGTATGACATGCGACAATTTTTACAACAATGTCTTGACCGCTACGTTGAACTTGCAGGACCAAATGTGAAGTTCAAGAAAGTTTCAACTCCTTTCCCAGATGACAAAATTGCACGTCCCATCATGGACGAAGCAGAAGCTCGGGGGGAACTCCAGCCCATAGCATCACGTGTGTTGATGAAAGTGTTGTTCGCAGCACGAATGGCTAGGTTTGATCTTCTCCGTGCTACTCAGGGTTTAGCAAGTAGGGTTACAAAATGGTCACCTGATTGCGACAAAAGTCTTCATCGATTAATGTGTTACATACACACAACCCTTGATCGTACAATGGTTGGTTTCGTTGGGGATCCACCTGAGGCCTGCAAAACATGGTTGTTTGCAGATTCAGATCATGCTGGGGAACATGACAATCGATCTACAAGCGGTTGCCTCCTTGCTTTGGTAGGACCAAACACGGTTAGCTAGAGACATGCTACCAAAACAAGCGGAGCGCTCACGACTCCTATTTTTGTCTGTGACGAGTGGTGCAGTCTCTGTACAAACCACTCACCCAGAGAGACTTGCCAGCCGACATTCTGTCAGCGGCATATCCCCCCGGGTGGGTGGGAGGGCCAACAATCAAAATGGGCAAAGACTTGAGCCCAAAAATGACAGTAGCAAAACACGCTAACCCTCCGTTCTAGTGAACATCCAAGTTAGCTAGAGACATGCTACCAAAACAAGCGGAGCGCTCACGACTCCTATTTTTGTCTGTGACGAGTGGTGCAGTCTCTGTACAAACCACTCACCCAGAGAGACTTGCCAGCCGACATTCTGTCAGCGGCATATCCCCCCGAAATAGGCATGGGCATCCGCCAAATAAAAATCTACAATGGACATGCAAAAGAAACCCACATGGTATCGACCGTGAAACAAAGAATCAAGGCTGCCTCAGACATTCCCCGGCTCTCAGTAGGCAACCTGTACGTTGAAGCCTCCATGGAACACGGATGAATGCAGAATTGCCACGGCAAAGTCTCACTGGTTCCACTGTCGATCCTGATGGTTTCCATAGTCATAGCTGGACCAGCCATCTTGGTTGCTGCCTCGTTGCCCATCTCTGGTCCAGTTGCCCCAGTTGTCATCGTCTGCGGCATTTGCATCTCTCCGTTGTGTGACATCTGGTTGATGCCGTTGCCACTCACTGCTGCGTCTCGCTTGCCAGTCGTGCCATTGACTTCCTGCTTCCCAGTTGGCCGTGCTTTCAGCTTCAGCCTGGTTGGATGCAGCAGCTGGAGCAGCTGACTGGCGAGGTGGTGGAGTGCTGCGTGATCTATCGGATCGATAGTTGGCCTTTGTAGCTTTTCGGCGGGCCCGCTCCTTGTTCTTCTCTTCGAGGAAACCCGGCTTCAGGACTTGCTTGGAATACCCATGTGACCAGGATTTCGGGAAATCCTCAAAGGAGGCACCCTCCATTTCAGCCAAGGCTCGCTGATGTCGGGCGGCCCCTTGCCGGCCCTTTTGGCGTTGTTTGGCCTCCGCATAGGTGAAGCCATCCTTGAGATACTTCTCGAATTTGCCTGGGTGCATTTCGGGCAGTGGACGAGTGCTGAACTCAAAGTTGAGCTCCTCCAGTTTGCTCTTGCACCGCTTCCATGCTTGGGAGCGAAGCGTCTTCCTCATCTCTGGGGGTGCTCGCAGGAAAGCTTCCACTTTCGTCTTGGTCTTCTCGAGCAGCTCCTCATCTTCTGCCTTCTCCTCAGGGGTTCGATCATCGTCATCACCATAGTCGACTTCAGACTCGTCAAACCCAAAGTGGTTCACCTCAGTGGGCGGAGCGCCCTCAGAAGATGATGCTGTTGCGCCTGAACCGAGTCCCATAGCTCTTGCCGGCATGGCATAGTTGGCTGCTGGCAGTGGCGGAGGGGGCTTCTTTGGTGCTGGTGTCTTCTGCATCAGCACTGGAGGAACTGGTTTGGGGGCTAGGGCTTTCGGCGGCTCCTTTGGCTCTGTTCTGGATGAGCTGGCTTTGGAAGTGGCGGCGGAGCCACCTTTGGGGGAGCCGAAAGCATGGGAGGCTTAGGAGGTGGTGGCTTCTTGAATTCGACACCTTTCGTCCCTGCCATTAGCCATGCTTTTGCGCTGGGATGCATTTTTAGAAGCCCCGGATGGTCTCCCAAACATGCCTCCCGGACCTCTTTTGGGACAGAAGTCATAGGTGGAGCACCTTCAATCAGCATCTTGGCCCGTCCTCTGTTCACGAAATCCATGAACTGGAGCAGTCCTTGCATCACGGCTTGATCGAAGGTTTGGAAGACTTGCTCAGACCCGGTCCCCTCCTCAGGGAGCTCTTCCCATGCCGGCTCGTCCCAATCATCTTCATCGAATTGGTGGTCTTGGAGGATGTCCATGTCATCGTCTTCAGCTTCCACCTCAACATACACATAGTCATCCTCGTTGTCTGGGACGGTGCTCTCCGGTGGAAGGTCATCTTCGACCCAAGGCTCAGACCCGGGCTCCAACCAGCTCGAAGGGGCCCTATATCTGGATGACGTCTCTGACCACCAAGACTCAGACGGAGCGTCTGATCGTTTCACCCCTGCATCTGCCAGTGCGATGCGAGGAACTCGCAAATCGTCCACCATGCCCCCTCCAGTGTATGGTTGGGTCGCCCTGGGGAAATGCTTGGCCGGTGTTGGCGGTGCTCCCTTTGGAATAGCTTGCGTGGGTGCCATTTTTTGCAATTTTTTGCATTGGTGGGGTGGTAGGTCCTCTGGGCCTCCCATCATCATTTCTTGGTGGCGGTGCTTTCCTTGGCTTCGCACTTGAGCTCGGAGTAGGCGGATTCGCGGGCGGTGGAGGTTTCCTTGGCTTTTGCGCGGTCCCTGCTGGAGCAGGAGGGGCTTTGGCTGGGGGCGGTCCTCCTTGCGCTCCTCCTCCAGGATATCCCTGTGAAGGGGGGGGCGGTTTACGAAGCACCTCCCGGCCTGCTCCTCCCGAGCTGCTGGCTCCTGCGCCAGCAGGAGTGGAGGACCGATCAAAACTTGATCTGGCTTGTTGGAATGATGAAGCTTGCTTGGCATAGACACCAGCTGGAACAACTGGGGAACGGCCTCGCCCATGCTTTGCAGCAATTTGCTCTTGTCTCCACCTCATGTATTGAGTGGCCATCAGTGGATCCAAGAGGATCTCTCGGACCATTCCCAACATCTTAAACTCCTCTCCTTTGGCTTTCTGGACATCTTCCCCAGCAGTTGCAAAGCGGTCTGGATGAGTCTCACGGGACCTGCGACGATATGCGGTGAGCACCTGAGCTGGAGTCGCACCGGGTGGAACACCCAGGAATTGATAAAGATCTAGTCCTGGGTGAGCTGCTACAAAGAGGTTTGCTGCATTGGCTCGATCTGGAGCTGCTGGCTTTCGTCCCCCATCGGCACTTTCATCAGTAGCATCCATAGCACCAGCCTTCACTGCAAACGATACCTTACGATCTGGTGCCCACGAAAATGCACGATTGGTGTTTGAGCCTCGAGGAGCTCTGGATGTTCGCTTCGTGGCAACTGGGCTGCTAAAAGGGTTTGATCCTCCATGGCTGTTATGGAATAACTCATCTTGAGGGACCCCCAATAAACCAGGATAGGACTCTTGGGGTTCAGTTGGAACAACCGCTGGATGCCTACGGACCCCGGGGTCTTTTTGGCTGGGGAGTGTAATGAGGCTGGTACCCAACATCCCTTCTGAAATCCCTTTCTGAGCGGTATGATCTTCATAAAGGTAAGCATGAACAGCATCGGATGACCAACCACCGTACCTCTTAAGCCTTTCTAAGTCCCCAGTACTTGCGAAAAATGCAATGGCTCCCCCCTTACGTAGTGAGTGTGAACCAGCGAGTTCGCCAGGAAACCCGGCGGCCAATGCAGCTATCTTGATGAAATGGGTGATGCCCTCTCTGTCAAGCCCCGTCCCGTCTTCATAGCGGAACAAAGGCGCCTCGTCTTCAGGGCTGCGCCACCGATGGGGCTGTAGGACCTGTAGCGCGGCTAAGGCTTCAACAGGGCAGAGATCTCCACCGGAGCGGTGGTGTGACCGTGTTTGGCCCCTACCATACTGATCGGTTTTTGAAGATCTAATCTGCACTACGACTTCATCGGCCTTGGCGCCTATGGTAGGCTGCCCATGCGAAAAGAAAGCAGCATCAGCTGGGCGGAGCGCCCTATTCATGGGGTCTTCTCCATTGATACTGGGCAAGAGTTCACTGGCCCGCATCATGAAAAACCAACCTGTAAGAAGGGCTCCTTTGATCATGGTTTGATCGACAACTGATAAACCGCTACTTTTCAAGTGCAGGACCAACCATCGCAACATGTTGGGGGTAACAGGGAGCTTTCGTTTTGGGGCGCCTTCCCAACGTTGTAGACCCGCAACCGCTGCCCACAACCGAGGTTGCCCGACCAGTGGATCAGGGTATCCTGCCGCAACATGTGCATAACGAATGGCTGACAACCTTTGTCTGACCCCACCTATGGACCTTCCCATGACTTGATGTAGAAATACTACAAACCGAATCAACCTCTGCTCGTCTTCAGTCCGAGCGGAGCGCTCTTCTCCGTCAAGGAACGGGTGAGTGCCCGAGCTGGCATTGTACAACGCCCATTGCTTCCAGCCTGATGCATAGACCCTGCGAGTTGAATCAGCCAGTTTGGCCAAGACAGCTTCCATGGCTACCTGGTCAAGCTCCGCTGTGCTCCCTCCTCGGGGGCGGGGGGTCCCAGTAGTCCCGCCTCTTTTGGATGCGGGCTGGACCAGCCTCTCCACTTCACTGAGTGCTGGCTTCACGGTGGTGCGTTTGCCTCCGCCTGCTTTCGCCTGGGTTGTCGCTCCCACGAACTCATGAGTGGGTGCCACTGCCACACGTGGCTCTTTCCACGAAGTAAGGAAAAGCTCGGAAGAGGGAGCCTTCGGGTTCCTCCCCCACGCTCGCAGCCAGACCTCTAGTTGCTCGTGGGCTTGGATCTCATCGGGGTCCAGGACTCCTGCCTTCCCATCGGTTCCAGTCAGAGCCTGCATGAGACTCATAGCCACTTGCCAGCCTGGCTCCCGGACTGCAGCTGCTATCATGCGATCCTTTCTCTTCGAGTCGGCGGAACGCCAATCCTCTGCGAGGCCCCCTTGCATTTCCCACACCTCTTCTGGGAGGAGAGGACGGACCAGACCCGTCCCATCTTCCAACAGGGTGCCTCCTGGGATCTTGAGACGCTCACCTGTGAGCCTAGGTCCGCAAGCTGGGCCCCGTGTGCTATGGACCAGGTGCCTGCTGCCGGCGCGCACGTCAACCAAGTGGCCGACTGGTTTTGGAAGCCACTTGTCTCCGGTGGTGATGAGGTTTGGTTCTCTCGTGAAAAGGTAGTCGGGCGGGCATAATCCCTTACCTGACTCCTCTGCGGATCGCAGAGGTAACATCTGACACTCGTTGACTTGTGCAACTCGCCATGCTTGAACTCTCTCCTTTTCGTCGGCCGTTCCTCCAAAAAGCCAAAGTCTTCTGGCCCTGGCAAAGAAGCTGCCGTGGTGTGAAGTCTGATAGTCGACCACTTGTGCCTGACCCCATTGAACCTGAAGCTGCATCAGGCGATTTCGGCTGGTTTCAGAGAGCTCCCTGGGCTGGTCAACGATAAGTCGTCCTCTCCAATCAGTTCTGGCGAGGGTTTTTAGAAGGATGTCTGCCTCCCGCCCTTTTGGGTCTTGAGTGAGAACACAGACGATCCAGTCAGCTTGCGCCTGGCTTGCGATCGATCCTCCGCCCTTGGCCCACCCCAGCTCGAACGTCAGTAGTTCCGACCCTAGCCGGATTTGGTGGAGTCCCCCTTTGAATGGCTTTGGTTCGATCTTGGCGGGGAAGGCATGCACGGTTTGCTGTTCGTTGGCCAGCTGAATGGCTAAAGCTGCACTCGGGCCCTTCTCCCCTGGTAGCTTCAACGTGGGGCGCATGGCTTCTCGCAGGAGTCCTTCCCAGTCCTCATTGAGCTCGAGGCGGGTCCAGCCACTGCTTTCCATTTCCGCATGGACCTTGTCTTCATCCTCCCTTGTCAGCCAGTCGTTGAGAGTATTGTGGTAGGTACGGACGTACGCTCCATCGACAGTGAAGCTATTCTCCGCTTCGAGCCGCTGGAGCAGCAGCAAGAGCGCCCTCACGTATCTGTTTGAAGCGCGCCTGGTACGTAACCATGCTTTGACATTCATGTTGTCAGTCACATAAAGGATCAGTTGCCCCTGCCAGGTTTCCTTCCGCGCCGCTGCCAGGACAATGAACGTCAGAAGCTCCATCACTCCGATGATCTCCAAGTGATCTCCGCCCCCTACGACTTCGCTCACGGCCCTGACGTATCTGCTGCTGTCCGCCATGTGGTAGCATCTATCCTTCCAATCAGTGCTTCCGAGCCTGGTTAGCGTGGCATCTCCTCCAACGAATCGGGCCGAAGCGGCCATGCCAGGGAGTGCGAGCCTTTCCCTTAACGGCAGGAGCTTGCCGAAAGCTGCTCTGAAACTGGTTCCCCAAGGCTTTTCCATCTGGAGGCGAACCCAATCGAGCGCATCCCAGAACTCAGCCCAGGCAGCCTCTAGCTCACTCTCGGAGCCCCTGGGTTTCACCCATTCATGATCGCCTACTTCCTGCTGCAGGAGCCTGTAAAAGACTGGTAGATAGGGTGCAATCTCCGGGGCGGAGACGGCCCAATACTGCGCTGTCCCTGCCAGTTCTCGGAGCAGCTTGGTACGAACTCGTTGGCACCCCCTTTGAAGCTGAGGCTCTCTTAGGAGATACTTCGCCTTTATTCGCTTCGGTTCCGGGAGGACCACAACCTGTTCTTCAAAGTCTAGGTGGAGGCCCCACAGGAGCTGGGATTTTGCCGGGGTGCCTTCTTCGGCGAGCTTGTCGAGATTGATGGCTCCAGGGCCCCAGACTGATACCATAGCTGCATCCATTGCTGACAGGGATCTCTGGATCCTATTCCCCACTAGTGGCTCTACCCCCACGCCGTCATCCATCAGCCATCGGCTGGTGTAGGGAACCACATCGTTGAATTGAGGATGGCATGGTCGGAACGACCCGTGGTGCTTTTGGGCTGCGGTGGCCCATATCACGAACTCCCCTGGCGCTCCTACCCAACCGAACACCATCACCAGACTCAGGATCAGCACACCTAGAATCCTCGTGCAGAATTCAGGGACATCGCCCGGCTTGAGGAAGTGCCACTTGAAAGCCCTTGGCACATCGCGTTTCGCACACCTCTGTGGAACCTTCGGGGGTCGCACCCTCCACCAAAGGCTTTGCCTGACCACTGCTCTGTGCCTAGGCTGAGCGGCGGGTGGGTGGTCGTATTTGGAGCCCGAAGCATTCCTGGCTCGCATATCGTTGATGGGACGACCTTCCGCTGAGATGGTTCTGTCGGGGGTTTGCTTGGGCACTCGGCCGAGAGGGCTCTCGGCCACCTTGCTCTCGGTCAGTATCTGGTCGATTTGCCGATTTTCTTCTTGGTCCTCGGTCTCTGTGGAACACAGAAGTACCGCCCCATAAGATGCGTCTTTCCATGCCTTCTGCAGCATCTCTTCCTCGTGCCCCCTGACGGAGCCGTGGTTTCGGGCCTTCTCTCTCTTGGGGGTACTCTTAGCTCGGCTGGGCACGCCCTTGAGCACACAGTCTTTCAAGTATTGCTTGTGTAGGGGGCTGAGCCCTTTCAATGCTCCTTCCTTTGCCTTCTGGAAGTGTTCCCCATACTTCCTCAGCCTCGCTTTGTTGACTAATTCAGCTGCTCTTGGCACCGAGCCGGCGGCCCTCAACAACGCATTTCCTGCCTCTGTGGCTTTTCTCACTGCCTCCTTGCTGTAAGCACTCTGGCATACCTCCAAGTATTTCTCAGCAGTGCTTTGGCCATTGGCGTCGTCGACGATGCCTGCCCTTGTGCCCTGCCCCTCAGCTTGCTTTTCGGGATCGGAAACAGACCCCTCCCCCCCACAAAACGTACAAGGGTAGACCATCTGTTGGAGTTCGCATCCTGAACAGGTGTAGCCATGTGGGAGGCCTGGTCCATCCGCTTGGCCAGCAACCACCGGTGCCAAATGTTGGCCAAGGGTTCGCTCCAACGTATTGGCTGGATCAGCCGGCCAAGGGGGTGCGTCCAGTTCGGTCCAACATTTCTCTAGGGCTTTGAGCACGCTGTGCTCTTGCAGATATGTTGTCCAGCTCCATTCTTCAAAAGCTGCTCGGACTACCAGACCCCAGGCTGCACACAAAGCTGGTGCGTATTGCTGTGCCAGTCGAGTGAGAGGTACTTGAGGAATTGGACTGGGTCCCTCAAGGGTGCGTGCTGGTGAGTCGGGCCGACTCCTGGGCACTGCCTACCAAGGAATAACAAGGCCCATGGGTAGAGTTCTGGGGAGACCAGCCACCAAGAATGCTTGCGATGAAACAGGCCCTCCTCAGTCTCAGGCGGTCCCAGACCCCAAGCGCACATAGCCATAGAGACAATTTTTGCGCCGGTGCGGCGGCGGAGCCTCTGCATACAAGGCAGGTCCCATATCTTGGGGTAGCGGCCCGACGGCGCGCTACTCTCCAATGCGAAGACTCTTCCGTTGTCCGCCAGAACCGTACAAAGTTCGGCTGCGAACTCTGCGTCTTCATTTCCTTGAACTTCAGAGGGACGAGTGCCGTCGCCTTGTGGGCGTTGCCAGGTCCTGCTGCCACCGTTCTTCAGCTGGTGGTCGCAGAAGGAAGTACAAACGACTCCAAGCTGCCAAGTGTTGGGGACATCGGGCCCTGGTGGAGCACCAGCTAATCCCAGCAATCGTTCTCGGACCTTCGGGTCACGGGTATCATGCTGCGGCTTAAAGCCCTTTTGCTCGATCGGGTCCTCATAGTATTCAATGGGTTCTCCGCACGGGATCCCCTGGTACTGAAGCCCCTTGGTCCATCCTGCCCATCCAGCGTACACCTCTTGACCAATTGGCCCATAGGCGAAGGCGAGCCTTTTTCGCAGAGGCACACCGCTGTTTTGAAGAGCCTGTGGATCATCCTGCAAGCAGGACTCAAATGAAGCCGGTGGCAACGGGAATCCTTCACCAACACGATAAGGCCTTTGCTGCTGTTGCTGGCATCTTGTGCAGGCGGGGGACTTGGCTGGAACCATCTGATCCTCCACTTTGCTCTGGTCCAAGATCACCCTCCAATGTTCAACCTGAAGTTCCCTGGTGACCTTGTCTGCAGTCCTCAGGTGATCCAACAGCTGCTGGGGCTGTTGTGGAAGAAGCAGGCGCATATGCCCCCGCATATGCCCCCGGTGGATGGTAACGAAAACTAGCTTCCCATTGCCAGCATCATCTCCGTGGAGCAAGTCGACCTCCAACCGACCAAAATAGGAAATCCTGAGGACCGCCAACGTGTATCCTTGCAGCATGGATCCTGTGAGGGTTTGCAAGGCGCGGTAGTCTTTCTCGTGGTGAGGATAGAGGCAATCATGGACGTTTTGACGCAAGAAGTGCTCGCCCTCAGGTATCCACGCTGGCGGATCGCCAAGGTGTGCGTGAGCCTCCACTGCTTCATCCCAGAGGTGTTTTCTCAACTGGTTGGCTCTGGCTACGGCCTCTCGTAGTTCTACAGATGGATCATCGGCCAACGCTAACCCGACACCCACATGAAGAGGCAGGCATTGGCGCTCTTCTTCCAACTGCCCGTCTTGCAGTGGGACCTCGCTGTCTTTTGCGTTCAAGCGATCCTGGTAGTCACGGACCGTGACTGAGCCGATATGCGACAAGTTTCCTTGAAAGTTCAACAGGCCATGACCAATACCCTCGTCCCATGTGATGGGCGTAAATTCGACATCTGCTTGGTGACCCGCTTTTGGCTCGTGCTTGAGGAGCTCAAGTTGACGTCCGGCTTCCTTAGAGAGCGCGGGATGTCCATGTTCTGCCGCATCTTCGAGACACCGGTTCAGCTCCAGTTCATATCCTTCATCTTGTGCTGCCATCATGCGTGCAATCACATGGGACCTGAGATAATCCGTGGGCGACTCCAAGGCCGCCAGAACCCCTTTCTCCTCCAGCGACTTCCATCGTTTCAGCCTTTCCCGCTCCTCTTGGCTCTGGTCATCCCAAGCCGGAGCGGCTTCTTGCTCAGTGGGTTGTGAGGGTATTCGCAGCCAGCCCTCATCTGGGCCCTGAACCGCCTCTTGCAAGTCAGTCTCGAGATGGGTCAGAGGGATATCATAGTCTTCAGGTGCGACCCACTGGGTGTTCCCAACCTTGTCTTCTTCAGCTTTACCCTCAGCTTCCTTCCCAGCTTTGGCCTTTGGCTTGGGCTTGACTTTCGCTTTCTTGCTAGGTTGGATCTTGTCGGCCTTATCCGCCGCTGCCTGGGTTCGCAGCTGAGCGACCCTTCCGTCGACCTCTTTGGGATCGATTTTCGGCCCACCTTTGAGTCCTCCTCTTCGAATGACCTGCATGGCAAACTGTGTAGTCAAGTTTGGCCAATCCCGGCAAAGGCTCGTGCGCGTGCTGGCACTTGTCGCCTCTTGTGCATCCCATGTGTGTGGCCGCATCCCAGCAGATAGGTTTGTTGGTCTTGGGATCCTTAGGTGCGTGCTCCACGGACCGTGAAGCTTCTCCTTGTGTAAGCCGTTTTCCAGCTGGGTAGGCTGATTTCATGCTGCCGCCCGCATATCCATCGGCCTCTTTGTCTTTCAGGTTAAGCTTTGGGGCTTTCCCTGTCCTTGACTCTTCATCTTCAGCTGGACCAGCTGTCTTCTTCTGCTTGAGGTTGTGGTCGTGCAGCTGCTTGTGGAGCAGCCTCGACATTTGCCTTTGCTGCCTGGGTACCACAACTGTCTGGTAATATCCGTTCGGGTCGCACAGATCCCATATGCTTGGAAACTGGAAGTTTGCTTGCCCATCCGCTCCCGGCGCCAAAGCTAGCAGCTTCAGGTCTTCAAGCCGTGGATTTTCGGTCCCCAGCAGAGAGCAGAGTTTCCTTCTGCTTTCTCGCAGTTCTTCGCACCAAGCCGCGACAAGTTCCTCAAAGAGCTCGATGCAGTAGGCAGCTGGGAAGGCATGCTCGTCTTCTTCATGGGCCTCCTTCAGGGCTTGGAGACAATCGAGCCTTTCTTGGATATGCTCTGTACCATAGCAGGATCCAAACACGCGAACTGAGTTTTCCGCGTATCTGAGCCAAGTGTTGAAGACTCCTGGTGGTCTCATGCGATTTTCGATCTTGTTGTCGGAGGACGGATTCCAACTGTCCAACTGCTCGGACCGAGCGGTAACGCAGTCACTTGCGTGCAAGGTATAGGTGTCTTTGCCACCCCACCACAGACCAGCGATGCCAAGTAGGACCCTGTTGGTCATCAGCACCGGCCATTTGATCAAGTGCAGCATATGGCGAGCGTGATTTGCCACCCTTTTCCCCGCGTGGAAAAGTTCCTTCCCGTACCCTCCCGGTGCGAGTTCAACGGTCAGGGTGCCACAGCCTCGTGCCAGGAAGACGTCCATCTTCTCCGCCTCTTTGATAGAACTCAAGGTCCCTTTCGTGAGGTTTTTGTCGTCATCCTGTGCTCTTCTCAGACCGTCGATGGCGTGAATGATGCGGTCCGCGCTTTGGACTTGTGTGCTGTCTCCGAGGGCTTCTCCGAACGTGGCTCCTGCTCTGCCATCCGGCATCTGCTCCGATGCTGGTTTCACGAGACTGTTTCGACCGCCTGACCCCTTGGGAAAGAGCGACAATCCACCTCTCTGGACCGGGGGGATTGAGGAGGAGCTCCTCGGCAGAAGTGGATTCGCCGGCCGGGGGACTGCTGGCTTTACGGTCACTCCTCCTGGCATAGTTGCCGTCGCGGGTCTGCTTGCAAACTCCATTTCGCTTTGGTCGGCTCCCAATCCTGGTGGTGCCGTTGGCTTCGAGTAGCTAAGGCGGTGATTCCTCGCATACATCGACTGAGCCAGTTGCTCATGATCTAGGTCGAAGGCAGTGGCCACGGTCTGCAACACTTCGGAATCTATCTCTCCCTCAATGTGCTGGTCAAGAGCTCTTCGAGCCGCTTCCATTCTTCCCTGGCGATCTGAATCATCTAGGTCTGGGAAGGGTGGAATCGCTGGTCCCGCACCCTCTTCCAGCTCGACTTTCGGCTTTGGCGGTGTCATAAAGTCGTCGGACATCCCAGCTTCTTCACGCAAATATGCATCAGCATGTGGGAGGATCTCCCGGTAGAGTCTCCCCTGCCAGGCTTTACTTGGCTTCGCTCCTTCATCCGTCACCTCACCGTCCCAGGCATTCAGGGCCGCTGCTTGGTCTTCGGACAGGCGCGCGACCAAGACCGATATCCGATATCCCTTGGCCGACTTCTTCGTCATGGGTATGCTGAAGGAACTTTTGCACCCAATGCTTACTAATTCGACCCGCCCCGTTGTCTGCAGGGGACCCTTTCAACAGCCTTCTGTGGATCACACACGTTTGCTTCAAGGAAGGGATGTGGACTTCGAGCAGCTCCTGGCTGCGCCCTTCTTCGGCGAACCCCTCGATGCACCCCAACCATGCAGTCCACCTTGGTGGGGCCTCCGCGGTTTGCAATGACTTTGGTCTGAGGAGCACCATGCACGGCCCCTTCTCCAGCTTGCCTTCAATCTTCTTCTGGGATTCACTAGGATCGGCCGAAGCAGCCCTGGGCCCAAGTCGTTCAGCACCGTCAGAGGTGATCCGGCGGCTTCTTCGTGCAGGGGTGAGGCATTCTCCTTCGGACATAGATGCCTCGGATCGTGCAATGGAGCTATCTCTCTCATGTGTCCAGCTAACCCTGCGGGTAGGGCGAGCACAACCACCAAGGTCCGTCAGGTGGTGCTTGCAGAGGGGAACTCCTGTTTGGCACCATCAACCTGTTCGTAGCATGCCAACACGCTGCATTTTCGGCTTGAACATGCCGCCACGTAGAGCTGCCGATGATGGTCGCAAAGCCTGACGGAGGATCTCCTTTTGACGTCAGAGAGTTCTCTGTCCCTCTCCAGGAGCCGGACCGGCTCTCCGATAGCCCGATCTGCACATGGGTCTGTGGCCAATGCTCTCGGTTTGCCTCCATGTTCCAAACCGACTAATACGGCCTCACAAGGGTCATCTTGTACCTCTACTTCAGATTCAGATTCCGCATCCAAGGGTCTGACGACGGCTCCTTCGACTATGGTTCTGGGTGGCGTCCGCTTTGCTCAGAGTTGTCTGAGAATGAACCATCCCGTCAGATAGTACACGCAGAGACTAAGCCCCCGCACCATTCTACGTAGCCATCGACCCATCAAGACGATCACCCTGCGGGTGGACCACCCTGCATAAGCTCCCAAATCCACCAGCCCATTGGCATCCACCGAAGCGTAAGTTTTGCAATGTAGACCGGGTGTTGGTTGCAATTCAAGCGGACACCGCTGCTCGCGACAGAGATGGATTTTCCCCTCCTGTTCCAACGTTTGGCGAAGCGCTTTCGACGTGGAACCCTTCACTCCACGGAGACGAACCCATAACCCGTATCGATCCACACGTGCCCAATGATCCCCGTCTACCTTCAAGCGAGCTATTTGGTCATTCACCACAACAGCTACGTCATTGGGTTTTCTTTCTGAACCTCGACCCTTGACGCCTCGTTGGTAGAATTCGGAATTGACGCCCCCGCTAGAGGCAGGCCCACGGATATCCAGCTTTTCGTATGTGCCCCCAGGTCTAAGTTCGGGGAGGAGCTCCCCCACCTCTTTGGCTACTGCTCTGGTCTGTCTGCAGCAACATTTGCAGAAAGCTTGACAGGGCCGGCAGATAACCAATAGCAAGTAGAGAATCAAAATTGCTCCCAAAACCACGATGGCACTAAACAAACATCTGGCAACCCATGGCCAAAAATCTCCGCATGTCCACACCCCCAGCTGATCCAAGAAGTACAATCCCCACCCTCCTGAGGAGCTCAGGGTTCCAGGTGCTGTTGGTGTGCTGAACCATGAGGAGCCTATCCATGAACGGAAATCAAAGTGGAGGACAGAGTATCCCCACACATGGGCTATTCCTTCAAACGGGATTCCAGATTGAACTTTCCTTCGTGGGATCGGACTGACCTTCTGATACTTCGGGTTGATCTTCCCATTGGTGACTTCTTCCTCCCTAGATCCAGTCATCCCATGAAAGACATCCAGGTACCATGGCAGGCCATACACAGAAGGGGAACCTACACTGGAAACTAGCCCTAATATGAGCGCCCAATTGCAAATGGGCATTATGACGATTTCGTCAGTATCCAACAATCAAAATGGGCAAAGACTTGAGCCCAAAATGACAGTAGCAAAACACGCTAACCCTCCGTTCTAGTGAACATCCAATAAACTATACTCATTTGGGAATGGTTTATACCACATTTATAGTGATTTGGAGGATGGTTTATTATTGTTTTAACCACATTACTTCAAGAGCCACGTTTTTTGTTTCAACATGCTTCATCCATGCCCTGCGATTCAACCCAAGGGCTGGTCCATGTCCGAGATCCACTGAGCCTCCCAACCAAAACATGTCAACGCCTCGAAGATCGCCTCAACCGATGACACCAGCTGTGGCGTTGCACGTGCCTCGGCTGCGCAGCAAAAAATATTGCGTGGAGCAAACCTGAAAGAGAACAATGTAGATATGGGTCAAAATTATAGGTACCCCAACAATTAGAAACTAAAATTCAGATTAGATATTATAGATACTGAAAGACAACTAATTATTAGTAAAAATTATTAGTAACAATTAGTTGATATAAATTATTGCTCAGCAAGTTTAGTAAACAATATTGTTACAAATAGTCTACTAAAATTGTTACTAATAATTTAACAATTATTACTGAAACTAAACTAAACCCTGCGGTCCCCGCGGTCTTAAATGGCTTGACCTATACCTACTGCATGCTTCGCCCTCGTCCGGTAAGGGACTCGCCATCGTCTCGGCGATGGCCTTTAGCTGAGCTTCTTCCTGCACCGTTCCGCTGCTTGCAGCGGGAATATCGGATAGCAAAGTCATGATCCAAATCAACACCATTCCCCAGCCATATAGAAACATCATCGTTGTATGGTCTGAAATTATCTTAAATGGTCCTCTATAAATATGTGATGTCATCCCCTACAAAACCATAGTTTCTGGGGGGTGTTTAATAGGATCAGGGTAAGGGAGTAGCATCCAGGTCCTATCTTTTGGATCCATTTTTTCGCCAACCTTAGATATCTTGTCATGACCAAGTTCACAGCATGCTGTCAACAGTGACCCAAGAACCTTTAGTACCACAGTGAGGTGGACCCGATGATGGGGAGAGTGTGGTTATAAGCAACCATAATGGGGGTATGATCAGATATATCCAGAAATAGTTGGAATATGTTGGAATGATATGGAAAAACATGTGAAACATTGCAGCCGGGTGATTACTCCCGGTTTTTTTTCGGTAAACGATAGCCACAAGGGGGAAAGTGGCGATTTACCTTGATGCCTTAAAAAAAAACCTCGCATTGGGAGCAAACCTGCCTGGTTAAATACTGTCAAGAGCATGAATCTGAAATGTCACGCACTTTTTCAGATTGAAAGCTCCAAGACAGTGGACTCCACTCTGAAATATGATCCCCCAAGAAATCAAATACTTTCAGTGGATGAGACAAGGAAAACTAATCCATCATGGTACCAGAATTACCAAAGTAATTACCCTCTGGTAAATGAACGTAACTATGGAAAATCACCATTTTTAATGGGTAAACCCATTATAAATGGCCATTTTCAATAGCTATGTTAGTTTACTAGAGGATACTCCCAAGATGGTTTCCTCATCGCAGCATCCCGTGAGAAGCCGACCTCAGGTTTCATGAAGACCTTGGCGGACTCCAAGTCCTCAAGAGCCTGAGAACCATCAAAATGAACAGTGGCATCCGTGTTTTTATTCCATCTGTCGGTAACACATAAACATACATAAACTGGGTCCAGTTCAGATTTCACTGATATCATTGATGTCATCAAGTTGAATGAATATGATTGAATCAAAGAAACACATCTGATTGATGTCTAAGGAATCTAAGGAAGCACCAATGAAAACACCCCTTCAATTGTAAGGAAACTCGTGGAATGCCTCCTGTCATCTCCGGTAACTGAAACCCCATTAAACCCCGGGCCCCTACAACCACCCTTCAGGCTCTGGCACCGCTCGGGCCTGGCCGAGTCATTGCCTGTTTTTTTTTTAAATATATATATATATATCTATTTATCAACAACTAATTATCAACAACTAGTACAAAACTTAACTGTCAACTTCTGTCAACTATTTTTGGCAAATGGTCATATATGTGTAATGAAAGGATGCAACTGATCTACATAAATTGCATCCGAAAACAACCAATAACTAAACATATGCTACTCTCTTTCTCTCTGTCTCCCTCTCTCTCTCTATACATATGTATATAAATATATATATATATACATAGTTGTTAATACATATATATATATATATATAGTAGAGTTATACAGTAGTTGGTGTGTATGGCAAGACTCAAAAACAACGAATAACATCAACATGATCTATACAATAATATATAGATAGTAACTCTGATGCTGGTTGGCGGTTTTAGTTTTAACCATCTTGGAAAAATGAGTTCGTCAATGGGAAGGATTATCCCATTATGGAAAGTTTTAACCACCTCGAAAAATATGAAAGTCAGTTGGGATTCTTATTCCCAAATATTCCCAATATATTGGGAAAAAAAAACATATTCCAAACCACCAACCAGTTATATATAAATGCTGGATATATGGAGCTTTCCTAAGTCATGGGGCTACCCCCAGTCATCATATCATCCATTTTAGATTGGGATTTCCATATCATCCCAGTCATCATATTCCAAACCACCAACCAGCTAATCAGGAGAGTCAACTTGTTCCTCTACTCTACTCGTTCCTCAGGATGCCAAGATTTTCATGTCGGATGCTGCGGATGCTTTAAATGTGTAGAAATGGAGTAAAAATGAACCCAAAACATGCTTAGAGATTGGATCGCAAAGCTGAAAAAACATTGATACTTCTGGACTCTTGAGAATTTGAGAATGAAATTTCCATGATAGATTAGGATCATCTAAATAATCACTAAACATTAGTATCAATGATTCATGAAATACGCAACACAAACATACATTAACCCGTATCAATGATTACTCGCAGTGAAAAGAAGGTTAGTTTCAATCTACGTAGTCTATCATAATTATAATATATGTCATTGTTCAACAAGAGCGAGTTGCATTTCAGCCACACTGTGGATGGAAGAAATCCTGCACCAGTTCGTAGGTGATTTATCCATATGTGTCCCATCATAATCTATTGTCAT